GAAAGGGCCCGCGCAGAGCTCCGCAATTCACGGAGGTAAACACGGCAATTGTCCGATCGCACTTTGTGGACAAACTGCTCGGCGATCTCTCTCTTAAGTGTCCAAGATTGGTCCTGGTTTAGACCTGGTTTAGTTCTGACCCATCCATGTGTAATTACTTCCCGCCCGTAATACGCACAACGCGTTCATATGCTGTAAACAAAATAAATAAATTTAAAAAAGCAAAATTGCACTTAAAATAAATCCACGAAACAGCGAGACCACAAAAGGTGAACTGCGATATAACGAGGGTTGACTGTATTGTGAATCTTTTGAGGATACAATATCACAATATTTCTGTTATTGTTATATCCCTACCTCCTCATAAATGTTATTGGATGACCTAGTATTATAATTTATAAAAAATAATTTAAGAAAATATATAATTTACAATCATGGAGGAATTGAAATTTTTGGTTGCAGTGTTAGAGTAATAATATTCTGTTCCCATATTACCATTAACAGTACAACGATAATTGAGGGGATCTTTAATGCAAGAAGTGTGTGCTTGATTGATGGGTTTCTCTGTAACTAATATCCTGAATGTGGCAATAGTGACAAGACTGAACAAAAGTGCATATTCATTCACAGCTCCCACAGAGACTAAAATAAATAATTTCACATGGCCAACAAATCAATGAAACTGTGAAGTAATAATGCACATACCTCTGCCCGCTTCATTCCGACTGGTTTCAAATAAAGTTGGAATAAATGTGAGATGTGGCCTTTAATAGTTTAACAGATTTGCAAAGTATGAGATCAGAGAGGAGCAAAGCCAAAGTGAAGAGCCGAAGGTGACAGAGATGAACTGCTGTGGAGTCTCTGAGAAATGAGGGGAAGCATGGGGATTGTGGGAGCCAGGAAACCAGTGGCAAAGAGACGTTCTGGGTTTGAGTTATAGGGAATGGACTTGAGTTATCCACCCAACCCATACATCTTCAAGATACCGATTGCTGATTGATGATGGTCATATGTTGGGCATTTTTAGTTTTTTTGGGTTTTTTTTGCCAGATGCCCTTCCTGTTGTAACTTTCCAAAGCCTCAGATCTTCTTTTAAAGGGCTCATTTTATTTTCTACTGTTTTCTGATCTATGTTATAATGTTTCCTCATCACATGCATGTTTAACACACAAACCCTGCATATTTAGGCTGAGTGGTAATACAGGAAGTGCTCCACTGCGTTTTTAAACTCCATACACCTTCACTAGAATAATTTTGGATAATTTCAGACTTGGAATTGCAAATCTCTACTGAGCTAAAGGTAAACTGCAAAAGGAAAACTACCACTACATGACGTGACAAAGTGGAGCAGAGCATTTTGAGCTTTGGAGATGTAAACAGAAAATCTAACCAACAATCGTGTGTAGGAGTGTGCAAAAATATCATTATTAATATAATAAAATTAAAAAAATAATATAATATTAATATATCGTATTGTTTAATGTGGTGAAACAGTATTGATTTCATGGGCTACTGTGTCAATACATCACCAAGAGTATTTTTTGCTATATTTTACTAAATTATTTTGTTACAGTGCTATAGTTTTGTTAGTCATGCTGGCTCCATCTACTGCCTCAACTCAATTTCATTTCTCTCCAGCAACAAGGTCAGGAATCAGAATACACTAGCCGGTTCGCAAAAATCCCGGAAGTGCGAGTTCAGGCACCAGCCAATCAGCGAAGAGCCATGTATTCCCAAGCTCGAGGATTTAAAGCTGGAACAAAGAGAATGTTTGGTGAATTTTATCAAGGGAAAAGACTTTATTGCCCTTCTTCCTCCAGGATTTGAGAAAAGCTGAGTATACATCATGACCAAATAGCAGCGATTGGTAAAATAAAAAAAGTACCCGCCTACTGTCGAGAGAACGAATTCTAATGCTGTGAGGTCAGACAGTTTCCACGAAGTGAAACCGGCTGATGAGTCAGACTACAGCTTTCTTGCTAGAGGAAGTAACTCTTTTATGTGACACATTTGACATTTTCTGAGTTTTTTATTAGTAAAATATTTGTGTTTCATATGCACTTTGCACAAGAAGTGGTTTAATAAAGGCTTTTAGTATCACAGCCATGATTCAGCCTTTACTTTTTATTGATTTATCGAATCGATTTGAAATAAATCGTATCAAATCGAAAGCGCACTGTGTCGAGGTATGTATCATATCAGCGACTTTTTAATGATACACAGCCCTAATCCTGTGTGTGAATGAAACAAAACATAACTCCAGGTATGTTTCTGAGGTGGTAAGAGCATTAAAAAAAAAAAAAAAAAATACATCTCACAAGAGTCAATTTTGTGTCATATTAAGCTGGTTGACCCAATTTTTTCTGGTTCAAAACATTCATATCTCTGTACTGTCATTGTTGTCACTTATTTGTTGTGTTCTTACTCTAATTTGACCAAGGTTTTATGTCAGATGCCCTTTCGTACTTTCTCGTGCAGACATGGTGAAAAGCAGAGGATTTTTATGAGACATTTTGGGAGCATTGTAGAGAATAAATTTGAGTCTGCCGCCTGGCTCATCCATCTTTGTGATATGGGGCACTGGGTTTGATGTGGTCGTCTTGGACATCTTCTCCGTTTTCCTCCGAGCATCTCTGCCCCCTCCCTTCAGTTTCTGTGATATGGTTTAGGTTTTGATGTGGTCATGTGCTGGAGGATTCTCACGCATGGTTTCCATAACGATAAAATGATTCCCAGTTTCTAAAAGTTGCCCTTAAAGATGCTATGAGCCCGGCCACTTCCACGCAAAACATTACTCAGAAATCTGTCAAATGTTTGTGATTTATCCAAATGATTTTTCTTTGACGAGGTCTGTGGTTAAAAATGGTTACTGTGTTTTCAAAGGGTTTTGTAAAGTGGATTAAAGCTGCATTGTAGAAATATATCATTGTCAAACTAGTTGTGCATGTGATTCAGAATTGTTGGCCCAGACATAGCTGCTTTTTTGAGGCTTATTATTTAACCACGCTTTACAGGGACTACTTCCACTACACCAGCCATGGGAGGTAATGAAGTACAAGCAGTAAAGTACTGTACTTGCTCACAATAATATCATGTACCATCGCAATATATCGAATTACAAGTCTCGTTGCTTAAATGAAGAGTTATGGGGCAGTAATAGCTAAAAAAGACAAAGAGAACTGCATAGACCATGATCCTTTGCTCCATTTCAGTGCAGACTGCAAGAAGAAATAACAGTTGTAAGCACTTTTAAGTCTTAGTTCTTTGGATTAAGGCATTTTAAGAGTAAAAAGTAGGATATTAACAGTTTGGTTGGCCTCCACAAAATATCGCAGTAAATATCGTACCGCCCCACCATATCGTGAGCTTTCCCACAATATCACCATAAATATCATATCGTGAAGTTCATACCACAATGATATTGGATATCGTTACACCCCTAGTTGTAAAAAAAAGAAAGTATCTGTATTTTTCTTAAGTAAATTATAAAACGAATACTTTCTACTTTTACTTCTCTACATTTGAAAGTAGGTATCTGCACTTTCCACTACATTTTTTTTAACTGTATTGTAAAGTAAAAATATTTTTTATTATAGTTTCTGACCTGCTGAAAAGGCCGGAGGTTTATTGTTAACACATTTGTAGTTTGAGTAAATATATACAAATATAAAAACATTCAGGAAAAAAGTACGGATTAAATTCATTCTGTTGAACAAATTCAGCCCAAAACGAGAAACTTTTTTTAAACTCATTTTTAAACATGTGCTTTTACTTGAGTAGATTGTTTTATGTGATGCTTTTACTGCAGTATTTTTTGCTCTTGTATCTGTACTTTTACTTAAGTAACACAATTGTGTACTTCTTCCACTGCACTAAACGTTTTGCTGTTACAGTGACTTACATTTTTAACATGGGCCATTTATAATCTGACTGCATTTGAAGAAGGAGCCAGCATTTATGGGTTTCAGGCAAGAATTCCTTCCTGATTTGAAGGATTTTGCATGGCAACAGTCCTCCATTGTTATAGCAATAACTCAATTCAAATCAAAACATTATATCTTTTGAATGGGGAAACATCCTCACAAAATCCTTCAAATCAGGAAGGAATCGTTTTCCTGAAAGCCACAAATAGGAACAAGTTTAGGAATAAGAATTTCTCATCTCACAACATTAAAACATATTAAACCAAAACAAAACAACTAAATGTGTTTTCATTGACAAGGAAAAAAAAGAAATACTGTATATTGTATTTTATATGTATTTTTGCACACTAAATTGTTTTTCCTTGTATTTTCAGTTTCGATATTTTTTAGCATCAGTGGTGGATGAAGTTCTCAATTTTGCACATTACTCAAAAAGTAAAAGTTAAAGTATCACATGAGAAAATCTACTTAAGTAAAAAGTATTAAAGTACCTGTTTAAAAATGTACTTTAAGAGTAAAAAGTAAGAGTATTTTCAGATTTTTAGAACAATTTAAGGATGAAATGTAGTGATTTTGATGAAGAATCTGGATGCTTTTTGAAGTGATTTAATTCATTTCTCAATTTTTCGAGCTGCTTTTGTGTTTGTATGTATTTGGTTTGCGCAGAGTTAGGAATACAGCTTTTTCAGCAGGTCTAAAACCATTAAGAAACTTACTTTTTACTTTTCAGTCCAGATCTAAAATGTAGTGGAGTAGAAAGTACAGATACACATTCTCAAATGTAGTGAAGTAAAAGTAAAAAGTGTCTACTGTAAAATGTACTTAAGTGAAGTACAGATACCTAACATTTGTACTTTTTACTTTTTTTTACTTTCTACCTTCCACCACTAGCTGTGAAGTAGTTTACATTCAGTGGGAGTTTGCCTTGTTGGAAAATAACGAGATCACATCATGACGCAAATTTTTTCCCACACAATTTATATTAAAATAAAAGTTTGCACAAATACAAAAAAACTAGAACCTGAAACTTTGCCTACTTTCCACGTGAATAATGATTTCACTTGTTTTGTCTTGCAGAGATGGTGAGGAAGAAGAATCCCCCTATCAGGAGTGTGGGAGGAGAGGAGGAAGAGGAGGAGGAAGGGAAGAGGAAAACGACAGGAGAGGAGGAAGACGAGGGAGACGAGGAGGGACGAGTGGGAGCGGAGGCCGACCGGATCACCCATCCTTCCGAGCCAGAATCCTCGGAACACCTCAGGACCGGGCCCGGCGAGGATCAGGAGGAGGAGGAGCGAGAGAGCGAATGCGTGTCTTCGTCCGTGTCGCCTTCGTCCATCGGTTATGACGACAGGCGTTCGGCGGGCGCGAGATCCAAAGTCGGCGCCGAAGACAGGGACAAAGCCGACAGGAGCGAGGGAGATGTCCATCCGGAAGTGGCGGGAGGAGTTTTGGTGGGGGAGGAGGTCATGAGGGACACGCCCCCTCTGTCCGGAAGCCCCTCCCCCAAGCTCCAGGACTTCAAATGCAACGTGTGCGGTTACGGTTACTATGGAAACGACCCCGCCGACCTGGTGAAGCACTTCAGGAAGTACCACCTGGGCCTGCACAACCGCACCAGGCAGGACGCCGCGCTGGACTCGCACATCCTCGCCCTGCACAACATGGCGCCCCACACAGCTCTGGGTAAGCAGACGGAAATGGAAAACAGCTGAGCAGCAAAACGAATCAAAATGAGTCTATTATATAAAAAAATGTAAAAAAAAAAAAAAAAAAAAAGGAAACAAGAAAAAAAAATATTAAATATATGTCAAATTATTTAAAATCATTGAACAAAGGAATTTATCATCAACATCAGTCAGAAATAAAAATAAAATAAAACCGTGTAGTAGCTCATAGGATCCGATTGTATTTGCTGTAGAAAGTCACAAAGCCAATCAAACTGAGTTAGATATTTTAAAAAAAGAACAAAACAAAACAAAAAACATGAAAAAAAACATAAAAAATATATTTAAAATGTATCCTTATTGTCAGGCAAAAATTGTGAACAGTGTAGCAGTTATATCAAAAAGTATCAGTTGTGTCCAAAATATTTTCTAAGTCAATCAAAATGAGTTAATTATAAAATAAAATTATTATAAAATACAATAGACAATATGTATGTAAAATTATGTAAAATCATTGAACAAAGAAATGTATTGTCAATGTCATGCAAAAATACAAATAAAATAGTGTCACAGTGTCACAGCATAAAGGATTGAATCCTAAATCAACCAAATAGAGTTATATATAAACAAAACAAAATAAAAAACAAACAAAAAAACATTTTAAATATATGTAAAATGCATCGTAACTGTCAGGCAAAAATAGTGAAATATATCGTAGCAGCTATTCCAAAAATAATCAGAAATATATTTAAATTAAAATATTTTCTAAGTCAATCAAAATGAGTTAATTATATAAAAAAAAAAAAAAGAACAATATATGTAAAATTATTTAAAATCATTGAACAAAGAAATTTATCGTCATTGTCAGGCAAAAATAATGAAACACAGCTCATTGGTTTTACAGCAAAAAAATCTGAAAAATCAGTAATATTTCCTAAGTCAGTCAAAATTAGTTAATTATAAAAAAAAAAAAAAAAAAAAAACATAAAAAATACATGTAAAATTATTTAAATTACTTGAAATTTAATTATATTTAAATTCTGACTAAAGTTATGGACTACATATCTGCCAGCAGCCTTTGAATTTGGGTTTCAAAAAAGTAACTTCAAGACTGATCTCCAGATGTTTAAAAATAAATTTAAATGGTCTGTTTTCTTCACAGTTTTGTACTGACTAATCACACTGAATATTACTTTAGCTGTCTGATTCAGTGTGGTCAGTTATTTTATGAGAAAACTAAATCGCAATGATCAGCCCAGATGTTTCTGTCTTCACTCCACTGTTACTTTAGTCTGTGTTAAACTCTCCGTCCTTGTCCACGTCCAGATGTCCAGGTGGGACAGGGGCCGAGGAACCAAGCCAAAGATTTGGGGAAGATCCGACAAGATCTCCTGAGCCAGCAGCAGAGGAGTGTGTTGCTGAACGGCACATATGACGTCCAGGTGAGATTTTTTCATTGAACTGCAGCCGTTTTGGGTGCTTTAAAACACTGGTCCCCAACCTTTTTTGTGCCACAGACTGGTTTTATGTTCGACAATATTTTCACGGACCGGCAAGGTGTACGGGAGGAGACGCAGTGGTTAAATCCTGTTTTAGTCCTGTTTTAGTCCTGTTTTAGTCCTGGTTTAGCCCTGGTTTAGACCTGGTTTAGACCTGGTTTAGTTATGGTTTAATCCTGGTTTAGTCCTGGTTTAGACCTGGTTTAGACCTGATTTTAGACCTGGTTTAGACCTGGTTTAGACATGGTTTAGACCTGGTTTAGACCTGGTTTAGACCTGGTTTAGACCTGGTTTTAGACCTTGTTTAGATATGGTTTAGACCTGGTTTAGACCTGGTTTAGACCTGGTTTTAGACCTTGTTTTAGACCTGATTTTAGACCTGGTTTTAGACCTGTTTAGACATGGTTTAGACCTGGTTTAGACCTGGTTTAGACCTGGTTTAGACCTGGTTTTAGACCTGGTTTAGATATGGTTTAGATATGGTTTAGATATGGTTTAGACCTGGTTTAGACCTGCTTTAGACCTGGTTTAGATATGGTTTAGACCTGGTTTAGATATGGCTTTAGATATGGTTTAGACCTGCTTTAGACCTGGTTTAGATATGGTTTAGACCTGGTTTAGATATGGTTTAGACCTGGTTTAGACCTGGTTTTAGACCTTCTTTAGACCTGGTTTAGATATGGTTTAGACCTGGTTTAGACCTGCTTTAGACCTGGTTTAGATATGGTTTAGACATGGTTTAGACCTGGTTTTAGACCTTGTTTAGATATGGTTTAGACCTGGTTTAGACCTGGTTTTAGACCTTGTTTAGACCTGGTTTAGACCTGGTTTAGATATGGTTTAGACCTGGTTTAGATATGGTTTAGACCTGGTTTAGACCTGGTTTAGACCTGGTTTAGACCTGGTTTTAGACCTTGTTTAGATATGGTTTAGACCTGGTTTAGACCTGATTTTAGTCCTGGTTTAGTTCTGGTTTTAGTGGCGCAGGAAACACGGAAGGAGGTGCAGTCCACGTGGCGTAAGCAAGAAGGTGCAGTTCAGGCGGCACATGGGAGGAGTCATGGTCCACGTGGCGTATGGAAGCAGGCGAAGGGGGGGTTTCACGCTTTGGCGGCCCGTTACCAAATGACCCATGACCCGGTACCAGTCCATAGTCCGGGGGTTGTGGACCCCTGCTTTAAAATACACTCCAAATAATTGTAATTTTTAATGATGATGTCTATTTAATAAACACATATTCTCCAAATCATTGTCAACAATAAAATGTGTACAAGGAGGATATAAAAAAAAAAGATTTATTCCCTATACAAGTTACATATAGTATATATTTTTGATTGCAGAATGATTATATAACTACAGAAATCAGAGGATTATGTTAAAGGGTATATTTTACGCAAAACTGACTCTTGTGAACTTTAAGCCATGTTATAATGCTGTTATTTCATCAAAAAACACACCTGGAGTTGTGTTTTGTTTCATTCATGTCTGAAAAACAGCTGTAATTGAATAAATGCAAGATAGATACAGGCAAAACATTAACATCTCCATGGGGACAAGCAGGTGGCGGACTCTCCATGACAACAGTTTTTCATACATCTTTACGGAAAGCAGATAATGTACCTTGTAATGGCAACATCTGTTTACTTTTACTGCCCAGGGAGAGCTATTACAAGAATATAAAAACTAATAAAACATTTGATGAACCGTAACCCAGCGCAATGCATCTTGGTAGTGTCTATTGACTTGGAGGTGTTTAGAGTTTTGTTTACTGTATCCATAAAGCTTTTTGTTAATGGCCGAGTCCTTTCCTACCTCCACAACTATAAAGCGCTGTCCCTGAATAGCTGTCAAAGTTGTGTTGCTTTTTATTACCTCGCTGAAAGACTTCCACAAAACTGTCTATGAGGACAAACAGGTATTTGGAAAGTAAATTCGAAGAACAACACTGGGCTATTTTCCTCCAATAAATCTGAGAAATTGAGGCCAAAGTATGAAAGAAAATAAAATGTTTAAAGGGCTCATGTTACTCTGTTTTCTCATCTGTGTTATAATGTTTCCTTATCACCAGGGGTCATCAAACTAAGGCCCGCGTGCCAATCCCGGCCCACCACACCCCTCTGACCGGCCCCTCCAGCCCTTCTGCCCCCACCACTTGACCTGGCCCTATGAGGCAGTCCTCTAAAGTTATCATGGCCTATTTTTTTTATTACTTTTTAGCAAATAATAACACATCTGCATCTTGTATTTTGTAGATTTCTTCAATTAAAATAATGCTGTTTATATCAAGTATTTATATTTAAATAATTATATAACATACCTATATATGCCGCTGAATTTGCCGCCGAATTTTCGTCACCTGACAAGCTCGAGATCAAACAGTGACAGTCGCACATGCAGAGTTCTGTAGTGTAGTTAAGGACAGCAAAATGACTCGTGTTAAAGTACGAAAAGTTGACAGAGAGTGCCGAGTTTTCAAAGAACAGTGGGTGACCGATTATTTTTTTGTTCAGTGTGAGGACCGTGCAGTTTGTCTGATATGTAAAAAAAAGTTTGAGGGTTTTCAAAGAATATAATCTGCGTCGTCAGGGTCATTCAATTCTGATATAAGACCAACTCGAACTTGGCCCCCATCACAGTCAGGAGTGATAATGTTGCCCCCAGAAGAAAAAAAAAAAAAAGTTTGGTGACCCCTGCTTATCACAAACATACCTGGAGTTTTGTTTCATTCACACGTTTAACACACAAACCCTGCATATTTGGGTTCTTGACTCAAATTTAAAGCACTCTGTCTGTTCCACCTTGTGATGTCATGTGAAAATACAATATTTTTACACTACATACACTTTAACTAGAATCATTTCAGCCCTGGAATTCCCAATCTCCATCCATCCATCCAAGTATACAGACTAATAATTCAGGGTTACTCAAACATGTGTGAATGAAACAAAACACAACTCCAGGTATGTTTTTGAGGAGGTAACACATTTTGCTTAGTAGTTCAGCGTTTAAATATGAAGGACAGTATATAAATAGGGCTGGGTACCTGTATCATTCATTTGTGGTGAAATGGCGTCGCAGCTCCACAGGGCTCCCAGGATGGTCCAGGCAGTTGACAGTTTTCAATACCATTTTTGTAGTATCAGCAGAACTTTTTTTGTGTCAAAGTGGAACTTATACATAATACCCAGCACTATTTAGACAGTGAAATAGTCATAGAGGCCAGATGGAGAGATGTTTTGGACAGGTACAGAGAGGCTGAATAGTGAATATATTACAAAAAGAAGTTTTAGGAATATAACAAAAACAGAAATGCCGTGATATCGTATCGCCGAAAGTCTCACAATAATATCATGAGTCTTTTTGGTTAAATTAATAGCTATGGTGCAGCAATAGAGGGGACTACATAGACCATGATCCTTTGCTTTGTCCCAGTGCCGACTTGAGAAGATGAAATAACTCTTATAAGCACTTTTAAATCTTTACTTTTTGGATTATGACAGAAGCACAGGAGTGTCAAGGCAGTTTAAAAGGGAATGTAGTATATCTATTCTGTTAATCTCCACAAAATATTCTAATAAATACTGTACTATGAGATGCATATCGTGAAAATCTTGTACCGAGAGATTTGGATATCATTTCATCCGTACTGAGTTTAGAGCTACCAGGCAAGAGGCCTAAGGGAAGACCAAAGAGGAGCTGTATAGATATAATGAAAGAGCCTATGTATGAAGGAGGCTGGAGTGAGGGCAGGACATGCAGATGATAAGGTTAGATGGAGGATTTTCTGTGGTGAAATCTGAGGAAAACAGCACCGAAGATAAGACAAAGTTTGCTTTTTTATTGTTGGGCCCAAACAATAAGCTTGGAGATGTTCTATGCAAATGTAGACACTGATACTTGTGTGCCTTTAGGTCTGGTGGGGAATATAAAATTGTCAATACAAACTTTTGCACAAACAAATTAGCTTCAGAAACTGGGCATTCTCTATAAAAGGTACAGTATGGAACTTTCACCTGCGTTAATGGAAGGAGAAAGTAAAAACCGTGCAAGTTTTATGCGTACAGTGACACTAGGCCAAATAAGAGTGGAGTTTGTGGAGATACGATCCCCTCAGAGTAAAGATACTTAGACAAACATAAATTTAGACAAACTTTATTGATCCACAAGAGAAATTATTTGGACAGAGTAGCTCTCACGCAGCTCAAATACCAAAGAGAAACATATGAATGGTATAAAATTCTAAATAAGTAGCAGAAATAGGACGAGACTGATGTACAATATGTTTTTCAGTGCTATAAACACAACCAAAATGAAAAAATAAAAAACACTTTTATTTTAGTTGATTGATTTTTGGTTAAAATGTTACATGATTCATTCTACTCCAGATACATTGCCACAACAGCAACACATTCTACCCTGTGATTATGAGATTACACATATTTTTATTGGTCAGTATTTGAAACGGATCAATTTAAAATGATGTGAAACTTGGGTGTGTCTGGAGCTGTAGAAATCTGCTGAGCTTCCAGAACTACAATCCAAGATTCAAGAGAGAGGAAATCTGAAAAAGCAGTAAGAGCATAAAAGTCAAAAAGGTTTTTATTCAAACCAGGGCCTGGTATGGTCCGAGTCATATCCAGTAAACGCCACAGCGCACACACACACACTCACACACACACACACACACACTCACACACACACTCACACACACACACACACACTCACACACACACACACAGTCAGAAATAGAAAATCCAGTGGGCTTAAATCGTCATTACGCTGAAAAAGTGAAAGTGTATGAAAAAAAACTATGAAAGAGCTCTCTATTCTCTCGCCTTCTCTGTCTCCCGCCCACGTTTGGAAAATTCCATGTTGTCATTTGCTGAGACGCGATCCCGCACCGACCAATGGGAACGCAGGAAAAGTGAGTGAGAGAGAGAGCGAGCGAGGAGCAGAGGAGATAGAGATGGAGAGAAAGGAAAGGAGACGCAGAGAAAAGATTTGTGAACAGTGGTTGTAATGGGCAGTTTAATAAAACAGCTGTCAGACACATGAATGTACTTTTGTATTCTCTCTCTCTCTGTGCGATCCAGTTGTGTCTCTTTTACTCGGGCTCCTTTCAGAGAATATAACTCCCCTCTTTCCCTCTCTATACTCTCTTTCTGACATGTGCCCTGATCATAATATTACCATATCATTTGCAGTTTAATCTCAATGTATATCACACATTTTGAGGTATTTAAAGATTCAATATTTTACCAAGTCAACTGAGAACACCTTCGACATGGAGCAATCTCCCGACTGAACTAAAAAAGCCAAACAAACTGTGTAACTTTTTCTATGGATCTTAAAAAATGGTTATGGAAAAGCTGCATAGTACAGCACAGACAGAATATATAATCTAAAACCGTGATTCATAACATGAGACAGTCAAACATTTGCGGATTAAAGATATAAAACCATTTAAAGCATGTGCACTGATCCTGTAAAAGACTCTGGGCTGAGTTTTAAAAGTAGATCGAGGTAAAAACAAACAAAAGCTTTAAAGTCTGTTGGAACAAGTTTTAAAGTCTGTTGTTGGTGGTTCCAGTCATCTACCATTTTGGGTGTTTATACTCTCTCACTGTTTTATACGTCTAAAAAAAAAAAAAAAGAAAGAAAGAAAGAAAAGAAAATACTAGAAATGTGAGATTGCGAAAGTGTTTTAAGAATTTAAAGTTGAGCCTTCAAATGTGCTTTAGGGTGGATCAATATCACTTCATTTCAAGTGTTGTCAATATGCAATTTCAATCACAAACAAAAAGACATAAGAACTACAAAAAAATAACAGAATAAAATATGCAAATCTGCACAAGTACGATATAAATTGTGTGTAAAAATGAAATATGGAAAGAGTAGAATAACACAGACAGTCATAAATGCCGCAGGTGAGGAATGAAGTCGTAAAAATCACTGCAAGATCATAAAAATAACAGTCCATGATTAACAGCTCCAGAGGTCCTCTTTGGGATACGTTCATATTACCAAGGAACAGTGATGGAGGCAACCAAAAAGTTACACAATACACCTTTAAATAAAAATACAGATACTGAAGAAAAAAAAAGTAAAAAAGTAAAAGTATCACATGAAAAAATCTACTTAACGTTCCCTGTACCCTCAGCCTTTTCAGCACGTCTCACACACTAATAAAAAATACTTTTACTTTTCAGTCCAGTTAAAAAATGTAGTGAAGTTGAAAGTACAGATACATACTCTCAAATATAGTGAAGTAAAAGTGAAAAGAATCCACTTTAAAATGTTCTTAAGTAAAGTACAGATACCTAAAATGTCTACTTATGTACAATACTTTACTACTTTTACTTTGTTACATTGCACCACTGGTAAGAAACAGTTCTACTAAGTCAACTCAGGCCAACTGAAGCAAGAATGCCACAGTTACACAGACAAATATATTATGTTGTCTTCTAAACCAACTGAGCCATTATACACACGCAGTAATGTCAAAAAGTGAAAAACACAGCTATATCCAGTTGCATGGTGTGAAAAACAAGATATTTTCCATGACTCCGTGTGAGTTCAGCAGGCGCTTTTGTTATTCATGGCGTTCTTGTCTTGTTATCAGTTTCTACAGTGAATTAAAAAGGTCAGATTTGCTGAATACATCACTTTTAATAAGCACTTAAAATAGTCAACCTGCTGGGATAATAAGAGAGTTTTTGTTTGAACCCAAATAAAGCCAACTGACAGTAATTGTTGGACTAATTATCAACACTGACTTATACTTTCCTGCCTGGGGTTGCCAAAACAATCGGTCCACCTCCAAGCTTGTAGCTGCTTATACTATATTTAAACACGCACGGCTTAACCTTTTTTGTTGTAGATCTTATGTTTAATGCCATACTGTGTAACATTCCAGACAAAGCAGCATCTATAGCTTAAATAGTCTGTATTCTAACTGTGAGCGGGTCGCCTCTCCACAGATGTGACCGGTAGTTGAAATGATTTGGTGTTGTGGTGTCTCCATGGAGATAAAGAAATGTAATGTAATGCCATATGGTAAAACATCCCCACCAGAAAATAACTACTACTACATGACATCACAAGTTGGAACAGAGCACGTTGGAGCTTTGGAGATGTAGACAGACTAATAATAAGGGATTACTCAAATGTGTGAATGAAACAAAAAACAACTTCAGGTCTGTTTTTGTCGTGTTCTAACTTGATTTGAAGCTCACAAGAGTTAATTTTGCGTAATATAAAACACTGTTGCTTTTATAATGTCTTGGGGTCTAGTCAAATCAAACAGACTTTTTATTTAATTAATTCATTTTTTCTTCCTACCAACAGGTGACGCTCGGTGGTACGCTGATTGGGATTGGCCGGAAGACGTCAGACTGCCAGGGTAACACTAAGTACTTTCGCTGCAAGTTCTGCAACTTCACGTACATGGGCAGCAACTCCATTGAACTTGAACAGCACTTCCTCTCCTCACATCCAAATAAGGTCAAAACCCCGCCCCCGACGCCTTTAATGTCAAACAACAACAACAACAACAGCATGGCAGCTCACGATGGCCTGACAAAGGGGCGGAGTCAGATTGTTGAGGGGGCGGAGCGAGTGGCTGTGAGGTCCGAGGATGATTCTTTAGTGGGATACTCGGTCCCGGTTACGGCGTGTAGCGACTCCCCGGGCTGGACAGGGGAGGTGGGCCGGGGAGGGCCCCTGGCGTATTATTGGTGTAAGTTTTGCAGCTGGAGTTGCGAGTGGGCGGGAGGATCGTCAAAGCTGATTGAGCATTATGAGCAAAGACACAAGAACTGTAACCCCCCTGGGAGCGAGCGAGAGAGGAGGAGGGACGGAGAACATGTGGCATCCAAAACTCGCAAAGACGGGTCATCTAATCCAACCAGCACCAGCCAAGGTAATGAAACACAAGAATGAATGGGAAACTGTTATGGCTCCCGATGTTGGACGCATTAAACATCAATGGGCCACTGCTTATCCAAAAATGACTATTGTTAATGTGATATGCAGTTATGACAAATGATGATTAGTCATAAGAGTGTGTAGTCAGAATGTCTGGACCACCTGCAGGATTCAGTTCTATTAATCTTTCAATTCATTTAAAGGTATAACTATGTTTGGATTGAACCGCAAGAAACAGCCTCTTAATACTTTACAGTGGCATCACGCTGAGGGTGTTCTACATGTTTGCCTATGGTGGAATGTTCACAAGTAACATGGTGACAAAATACACAAAGTTTTTAGAAACCTAATGCAAAACAAAACAAACAAACAAAAACAAAAAACTCATACAAAATGGATTTAAACCTGCCTGTGATTAATACGAGCATTCATGGTTCAATAATGGTGAGAGTGACTTAGACTTAAGCCCAATTTATGTTCATGTGTCTGATCGTCTGCATCACAACGCAGAGAATCTGCATCGCCGTGAACCCCCTCTACAGAGGGTCTGCTCCAAGCGATGTGCACCTCCGAAATTTTCTAATTACACATCAAAATGACGCAGACAATAAGGTCTGTGATTGGTTCTCTCTACCACCGTTCTACATATATTTCCAGTCCTCCGTTTTCTCGCTTCATTTTGTATACATGAACGCCATCCTAGCCTCCTAGCGTTGTGGAGGTGAATTACTTTGTGGCACGTTGACCTCGACACAGATCCATAAATCAAACACGACGGCTACAAGGCGACGGCGGCAGTGTGCATTGAATTGACGTAGAACCATAATTTCAGCCTTTAGATTTAGACTTAAACTTTATTGATTCACAGAGGAAATTAGTTGGACAAAGTAGCTCACACATCACATTATATCACAATAACAAAGAGTAAAAAATATAAAAATGTTAACATAACTTCTAAATAATTAACTTTTTTTTTTTTAAAAGCAAAACGGATCAATCTGAATCTGAAAAACAGTTGGATAATGTTTGCTTGTGACTATAATTTTATGTAAGACAGATTTGTTTAACAGCACAAATCAGCTCAGATACTGAAACTCAAGTCAACTCTTTCAGGCCAGATTGTGTAAAAAAAAGAGTCTAACAAAGCTTCAGACAGAGCAGAGCCTACAATTAGCATCGCAGTTGATGATATCAGATGCCAAGTGTCAGCTGTCATCCACTGAATTATAAAGTTTTAATATTATATACAGTTATAATATTTGTAAAAACACTGATTCGCTTTCAGTAATATAATCCTGTTTTATTCGTTATTGCTGGGTTTCAGATGACATCACAGAATATATAATTTAATACAGATGGGAGGCAGTTAAAGTAGTTGGAATGCAGATTTTTGTTGTAATACAGTGAGTACTTGAGTCTCGTCACTAATAAAAACGTGCAGGTTCAACATTTATCAATTTACCTTTTCGATATTTCATGGCCAAGTACAATGTTATCAAAAGGAAAAACGGACTTTTGCTCTCCATCTAGACGAATGACACATGATCACATCCTAGAATCTGAAAACCACCAATTAATCCGTGTTCTCTTATTCCCAACAGACCCGAACAGCAGTGACCCCGACGCCGTGGTAACCAGCTACAACTGTCAGCTTTGCGATTTCCGGTACTCGATGGCTCACAGCGCGGACGTGATCGTGGTGGCACCTTTACTGCTCCACTACCAGCACAACCACTCCATCCACCGCTGCTGCATTCAACACTGCATGTACTGTCCGCAGGGCCTGTGCCAGCCGCAGAAACACCTGGGGGAGGTGAGAATACCGCAAATGCACTGGAAAATAAATACTACTGGCCTGGTAATTACGTTGAAGAAAAATAATAGCTTTTCTATCTGGGGAAATAAAAATGTAATGAAATAATATGAACAAGCGTAAAGTTAATTACTCAAATTTCCAGTTTTGTTTAGACTCCCTTGCTTCCTCAAATATTGCCACTCGCCTCTGTACCAGCTGCCAAGTGCTGTGGCTGTAGCTGTTGAAAATGCAAAGGAAAGTTAGCAGGCAAAACCAAGCCTTAAAGGGCCCATATTACACTATTGTCTATGTATTTATCTATGTTATAATGTAGTTTCCTCATCAAAAACATACCTGGAGTTGTGTTTTGTTTTATTCACACATGTTTAACACACAAACCTGCATATTTAGGCTGTGTTCTTCTCTCAAACTGCAAACACTCTGTTCCACCTTGTGACGTCAAGTGGATCATTTCAGCCCTGGCATTGCCCATCTCTACTGAACCAAACGTAAAAGCTCGCTGTTAACGTGAAGACTAGTTAACAGTAGTGTGCAGTCAGGGTAAACAAGGCAAGCAGTTTTGGAATTTCAGAATTTTGGACTTCATTTCCAGGTTAGCCAAAGTGTTGGAGGCGTGTGGTGACACTTTTTAAAATATTCCATCCAGTCCTTGTATTTGCAGAGGTCGCTGGTCTTACCCACTCCACAAAGCACCCGAAGTAAATCTGTTATTACACCAGACTGTCGATGTAAACGTCTGTGTCAGTAGAATCATTCAAGTGGGGGTGTAACAAAAACCAAAATAATGTGATATCGTATCGTCAAAAGTCTCTCAATAATATCGTGGACCATCACAATATATCGAATCACAAGTTTCTTTGCTTAAATTCATTGTTATGGTGCAACAACAGCTAAAAAAAATGAAGGGAACTACATAAACCAGGATCCTTTGCTTCATTTTCATACATGAAGAAATAGCAGTTCTAAGTACTTTTAAGTCTTAGTTCTTTAGATTAAGTCTTGTCAAGGTATATTTAGAGGAAAAAGTAGCATATTTACAATTTTGTTAGCCTCCACAAAATATTGCAATAATACCATACTGTGAGATATATATCATGAAAATCTCGTACCGTGAGATTTGAATATCGTTACATCAATATTTATAAGTACAACCAATCTTGCATTTGAAGGATCTTTGTCTGAGCAGCAGCAGCGAGTTGTACTTCCTGATAGAAAGCTGGCCATTGACATGCATGAGCCTAGCACCAGTGATTTCTGCAAATACATATTTTAAAATATTTTTTAAAGTGTCTCCACACATCTCCAACACTCTGGCTAACTAGGAAATGAGGCCCTATGTCCAAAATTCTGGACTGTCCCTTTAAACCTTTATATCTTCTTGGACACTAAACCAGATCTGTGGAGAGTTGACCCCATTCACAGTCAGAATGCCTGTTTTTCTAAGATTTTTGAGCTATAAAACCACCTGTAATTGAATAAATGTGAAGAAGAGCTGTGTAATGTCACACTACGGAACATTCCAGGCAGAGCGATGACATATCCATAGGAACAAGCAGTTACGTAGCGCACCTTTAAGCACGTTTTTCTGTTTTCTTTACTGTTTCCAAACTAAAGCATGACGATCCACTCACATCACAAATGACGTTTTATCTCTCCCATTAGGTGTCCCATCCTTTTGCTTGTCGGAAGCCCGCCTGCTCTAAATGCTGCTCTAAGTTCCCCCCGTCCACCAAACCCCAGGACACTGCTGGTTCAAAGCCTGCCACTTCACCGAGCTTGACCCCTCCTAACCCCCGAATCGACCCCACTAACACAGCACATCCCATGGTCACGCAAGGTACTAAAAGTCAAGCCAATACATGCCCGTTTGTTATTTCCTACCGTAACATCTGTCGCCTTGCTCCCTTGTTCTCCAGGAGTTACGCATTTATGTGACCAATGTGCTTTTGCCACCTCCGACATCGACGTGCTGCTTCAACACTACGAGAGCTGCCACACCGTCACCAGCCTGAAGGGGGCGCCGCCTCACGTCAAAGCGGAGGAGGACGGCGGGGGAGAGAAAGAGGGAGGGAGAGGGGGAGAGAGGGAGTACTCCTGCACAAAATGTCACTTCATCACAGAGGTGGAGGAGGAGATATTCAGACACTACAGGTGGGTAGCCATAATGTGCTGACTTTACACAGCTCATAGTTTAACAATGTTTACAGCACATGTAACACTGTATATTTTAAATGACCGTATTGTGCGCACTATAGGATGCTCTGGATTATAAGGCGCACTGTCACTGAATGGTCTATTTTCTAACTTTTTTCACATATAAACTGCACCGGACTATAAGGCGCATTAAACGAAACACAACAAATAGATAAGTCGGTCAAACTTTATTTAACGCTTTCACAATAACTCTCAACTTTGTTCAATTGTAACGCGTAAAAAAAATACTGTCTGAGACGCTAAATTGTTAACGTATTCACAATAATTCAAACATCTGAGCGACTAGGGCGTCCAGCACACCCGCATCCCTCTCGTCATTATCGGAGTCAGTATTGTTACTGTTACCTGGCAGTTCGATGATGATTCTGGTCTTGGTGAAAGCTCGGACCACAGTTGATACTGATCCTTAGACCAGGCGTCCACGATCCATTGGCAGATCGTGGTGTAAGTCGCTCGGCGCTGTCTCCCTGTCTTGGTGAATGTGTGTCCGCCATCTCTCATCCACTGCTCCCACGCAGCTTGCAGTTTAACTTTATTATAACCTTGAGTTTAAAGTCGGCGTTGTAAGTGTTTCTCTTGACATGTGCATTTTGATATTAAAAGGAATCACAGTATGTGTTACCTGACTACGGTAGCCATAATGCTGCAAGTGGTGCGGCTTTGTAGTTTACTAAAGTCGTACTAAGACACCCGAATAAATTCATATATAAGGCGCTCTGGATTATAAGGCATGCAGTAGTTTTTTTGATTAAATTAAAGGCTTTTAAGTGCACTCTATAGTGCGGAAAATACGGTATGTTAAAGCTGCATCCCTATAATATAATAACCAGGGGTGTGCAAAAATATCAAAATGTCATATCATTTAATGTGATGATACAGTATCAACATTGTGGGTTGCTGTATCGATATATCGCAAAGAATATTTTTTGGTATATTTTACTAAATTATTTTGTCACTGCGCTACAGTTTTGTTTCTTGTTCAGAGGAAGGAAACTCATTTATCCGACACATTTTACCTTTTTTGATTCAGGCTGCGTTTATTTGATGACGGTCTGAACAGAAGACACAAAAGTGGCATCACGTCTTCACTTTTTATTCCGCGTTTAGATGAGCGTTTTCAAGAGGAAATCTGCTTGCATACGGTGACGCTAAAGTGTGTGGAAATCGATTGGTTAAGCATGCCGTCTAACTTGCCTACGATAAACTGGTGCATCCAGAATTTGACAGAGGTAACTGCAGATCCTTCTCTGTTCACTAATAGTATCTCTGCATGTTCTGTACATTTGTTGGGATGCCTCCTGTAAGTTTATCAGAGCTGCCAGTGTGGCTTGAAGGTCCGACACATGGAAATGATCTGACATGTTGGTTTCTGTGTACGTGACGTGAGCAGATCTAACCAGAGTTTTGCGTCTTGGGCAGATGGAAACGCTACGGCGGAGTGTATTAATCTTTTCCACTCTGGAGGCTGGTTTCAGATTTTTGCGTTTTTAAGCCCCCAAAACGGCATCACTGTCTAAACAAAAGGCACTTCTGATAAAATAGTTAGTCGTTTTTACCCGCAAGCGTTCTCGTGTAAACAGGCCCTAAAATGGGTGTGTTTCATATGAAATTTGCACAAGAAGTGGTTCAACAAAGACTTTTAGTATCGCAGCCGCATCATTTAGACTTTATTTTTTATTGAACCATATAGAATTGAAAATCGTAACCTCACTGTATCGAGGTATATATCGTATCGTGGCCTATGTATCGAGGTACAGGATGTATCGTATCGGCAACTTCTGAATGATACCCAGCTCTAATAATAACTCATTTGCCCCATTGCTTTTGCACTAAATAAGACCTTGACTTTAAAATGCCTATGACAGGTTGGACTACCCATTTGACTAAAACACAGTTAAAATCATCATATTACGAATTTGGCAAAAACATTCACACTCGTTTTCCCAATTTGGCTTTTTTTTTGTTTTAAAATTGTACTTCGTGGTTGGAAATTGTGACATCACACTAGGGAATTCAACGGTTACCTAGAAAAACTCCTCTACACAGAAATTATTATCTGACAGATACAAATATAAGAAAACTTTTTTATTTTGTTGAAATCATGTTTAAAGTATCAGAAAAAATGTGTCATAAGTGTAAAATGTGCCAAACTTTTGACGAACTTTTGGATAGAATTCTCCTTACCTTGACATCTTCAGTTTTAGAACTCTCAACTTTTTGTAATTTTCAAAACATTTTTCAACTTTTCTTCACAAACTGCTTCTTGATTGATTTAAAACTATAATTTATATTTATCATAGTTATAATCCCTCCAAATGACGGTAAATCAAAATTAGAGAATCACAAAAATCACACGTACTTTCATAAATTTGAACATAACAATTTTCTGTAAAGACAAGTACATTTTTACTTTTAATACTGACTAAATGCACTAAAATAAGAACTAGGCATGTTGAAAATGATCATAATTTCCTTTCTCATTCTCAAACTGAATGAGAAAACTGGAAAGTTGGACTCAGAGACCGAAGAAGTGACACGTAACTTTGCATTCTAACTTTGTATTGTCTCAGATTCATACGGTATTGATCTGACTGGATTATGAAAGAAAATGCTGAAACCATTGTGTGACAAAGTGAGGGATTTCAGCTTTGAATCAATCAGAAATTTAGTGTTGTTTTCAAGAAGATGAGAATGAGTCAGAACTAGAAAATAATGGAACAAAAGGACAAGATGGGAATGTGAACAAAAACAGGGATTCACCAACTTCATGGCCTCATTAGCACGAACTTAAAATGACTTAATTAAATCCCGATATTTGATTATTCATGGAAAAACTTAAAGCCCTTATATTCACTTTTTTTCATTATCTATTTTATAATGTTGTTTCCGCATCAGAAACATACCTGCATTTTTGCTTTAACCAACAAATCTTGCATATTTGGGCTGGATTCTCCTCTTAAAGAGAAAACACTCCACATTGTGATGTCATGTGGTAATACAGGAAGTGCTCCTCTGTGTTTTTAAACTCCATACACTTTCACTAGAATCATTTGGAAGATTTCAACCCTGGAATTGCAAATTTCTACTGAACTAAAGCTGAAAGGTAGCTGCTTCATGACATCACAAGGTGGAACGAAGAATTTCGAGCTTGGAGACAAATTAATAAACCTTGATTACTCAAACATTTTTTTTTGTTTTGTTTTGTTTTGTTTTTTTGAACTTGTATTGCCACAAATCAGTTCACATCAACAGTGTCCTGAGACTGGGCCTTCACACAATTTATATATTTACTTTTTTTTTTTCCCCCTCTTCCCCCCTCTAGAAGAAGAAAACAGAGAACAAAATTGCAAGAATGAATAAAAAGAAAACAAAAATAAATAAATAAAAAAATGAAAAATAAGGCATGTTAGGGCATACGTTTCTTAATTGAAAAAGTCAATAATTGGGCTCCACTTCTTTTCAAAAGTTGGCAGCTTGAGCTGTAGTTGAGCCATTAACAGTTCCATTGTATAAACTTGTCTGATTTTTGATATCCACTGTTCAGTGGTGGGTGTTTCAGGTTTCAGCCAGTAGATAGTGATCATTTTCCTTGCAGTCATCAGAAGAAGATGCAGCAGAAAGCACTGATCATGAGAGAGACCATCAGAAAATGTATCAAGCAAAAATATCTTTGGGTCCATCAACAGGTCCACAGCCAAAATGTTTTTTTTATAACATCTTTAACATCAATCCAGATACGTTTTATATGGGGGCAGTCCCAAAATATGTGAGTCTGGTCGCCCACATGTCCACAATTCTTCCAACATTTGTCAGTAAGACTGCATTTCGAAATAAAAGTTTTAAGCGGGGTTCAAAAGACTCTTAATTTGACCTTCCTTCCAAATTTGACTTCTTACCCCCCAAGACGACAAGAACAAACACTCTCCCAGGTATCATCATCCAAAGTCACATTCATTTCCATTTCCCACTGTTGTTTTATATGATTTGTATTATCAGACACGTCCATTAACAATTTTTGGTAAATCTCGCTCACTTGCTTTTTCAGTACTCCAGAATTTTCAAGTAGATCGCTAAAATATTTCTCAATATTTGTCGGGACTCTTCTGATACAGTGTGTTTTTAAAGAAGTAACAACATTATAACTTGGCTTAAAGCTCACAAGAGTCAGTTTTGATGTCACATTGCACCTTCAAGAAACAAAGAGGAGTCATTTGTAACATATTTTTATTTGCAGTTTGAGTTGAGGATAATTGCACGAGAGCTGTGCAGTTGTCTCTACTTAACACATAACTAAGATGGATACGTTTCTCTATGGGGAGTTCTCACAAGAAATGAATAACATGATATATTGTAACTGCACGGCTTTAATAAGGAGCATCCACTCTGCCCCGAGACAAAGCGAGATTAGATGAAATCAAATTAGAGGTGATAAGGCGAGATATGAGCAGATCAGATTGGATAGAATAAGACATATAGATTTCAGATAATCCCTTAATCCAAAGTAGCAATTTTCAAAAGAGGATTTAACTTTGTTACACTGCACAGTAGAAACATGTGGGAAAAAAACAGTATTTAAAGGCGCATTGTGTAATTAGTGGAAAGTTTCTATTTTATTATTCTTTCTATTTTCATGAAGACCAAACCAGAGCACGGAAGTTACAGGTCAGATCTGTGGAGAGGCAACCCTGTTCACAGTCAGAATGCCTGTTTTTCTAGGTATTTTTGAGCTAAAAAAAAAAAAGAAGAAAAATTTGATTCACTGACATATCGTGATACTTCGTTGCACATTTCTCTAATCTATTCAAAATGCATCTGAATCGATTTTGTAAATTATATTTTTCGCTAAGATTCATTGGTTGCATTCAATGTTCTCATGATTTTAAAAAGGTAATAATTTCATACAATTGTGTTCTCGTGAAGGTGTAGTTGGAAGTAATTGATAAATTGCAATATGTCGTCCATTGTTTTAGTATCGGTATATATCGTGATATATTGAATCGTGACATGCAAATCATGATATGTACGTAAATCCATGTGTCATTCCTTCTTTAGTTTTTCAATATAAAACCAAAAATAAGAAAACAAAAAAACTATTATTTTCTTTATTATTTGTCTCCAAAACCAAAATGCGATTTTGTGTTTAAATGAATAATGGAAAAAACAGATAAGGGCAGTTTCCCATTTCTGTGACTTAAAATGCGGACTGAACCAAGACTAAACCAGGACTAAAACAGGTCTGGGACCAGACCTGAGGCCAGGCCCAGACCAGGACCAAACTGTGATTGAGACCAGGACTGAGACCGGGACCAGTCTGGGACTGAGACCGGGAACAGGACTGAGACCGGGAACAGGACTGAGACCGGGAACAGGACTGAGACGGGGACCAGACCAGGACTGAAAACAGTTTAGTCTTGTTTTTTTCCTGGTTTAGTCCTTTTTTAGTCCTGGTTCAGTTCTGGTTCACTTTGTATGCAGCGCAAAAGTCCAGTATCGCAGTTTTAGTCACGGAAACGGGAAACGGGAAACGGCTGTTATCCGTTATTTCCATTATCCATCCATCCATCCATCCATTTTCGTCCGCTTATCCGGGGCCGGGTCGCGGGGGAGCAGCCTAAGCAGGGACTCCCAGACTTCCTTCACCCCAGACACGTCCTCCAGCTCCTCCGGGGGACCCGAGGCGTTCCCAGGCCAGCCGAGAGACATAGTCCCTCCAGCGTGTCCTGGGTCTTCCCCGGGGCCTCCTCCCGGCGGGACATGCCCGGAACACCTCCCGAGGGAGGCGCCCAGGAGGCATCCGGAACAGATGCCCGAGCCACCTCAACTGGCTCCTCTCGACGTGGAGGAGCAGCGGCTCTACTCCGAGCTCCTCCCGTGTGACTGAGCTCCTCACCCTATCTCTAAGGGAGCGCCCAGCCACCCTGCGGAGGAAACTCATTTCGAGCGCTTGTATCCGCGATCTCGTCCTTTCGGTCACTACCCAGAGCTCATGACCATAGGTGAGAGTAGGAACGAAGACTGACCGGTAAATCGAGAGCTTCGCCTTTCGACTCAGCTCCCTCTTCACCACAACGGTCCGATACAGCGACCGCATCACTGCCGAAGCTGCACCGATCCGCCTGTCAATCTCACGTTCCGTCCTTCCCTCACTCGTGAACAAGACCCCGAGATACTTGAACTCCTCCACTTGAGGCAAAGACTCCCCACCCACCCATTATCCATTTAAACATAAAATTGAAAACTAAAAAAAAAATCATCATCCTTTTTTTCATTTTGGTTTTGGAGACAGATAATGAAGAAAACAGTTGTTTTTTCGTTTTTCTTATTTTTGGTTTTATATTGATAAACGAATGATACAGGGATTATCATATTGTCAGACTGAAGGCAATGCACACCCCGAATAAATAAAGCTGTTTAATGCCATACTGTGGGACATTCCAGTAATCAAAAGAAACAGAAAACGCATACCTAAATTCTTGTAGAGGTGCAAATGCAAGGAGCAGCAAGACAAAAGTGAAAAATGCATAGCACTCTCAGGTGGGCGATGTCCAAAAGCCTTTTTATTTTCAAATAACGTTTCAGCAAAAAAGCGTTCAGCAGATATTTTTCTTGCTTTGGACCAAAGTACACCATTAGCAGTACACGTTCCATCAAAATCATATCCATAGAAACAAGCAGGTGATGGACCCCCAACCAAAAAGTTACACAGTGCAACTTTAAGATGGCAAAAAAATATATACAAATCTGGTGGAGACTGACTGTGCTTAATATTAGGTGACCATAATGCAGTGTTCTTCTCCCCACTCACATTTAAGTGTTTAAGAAGAGTTAAGTATTTAGTTTTCCACAGCATTTTCAGTCAGACAAAGAAGTTACATCAAGCAAATAATAAGAATGTATTCATAGATAGCTTTGAATATGCAAATCTTTGGTGTCTATTGTTGGAATTTGTTTTGTCATTTCTAAACAAAACTGTCAAACAAATGGCTGCTGGAAACAGAAAGATGTCAGCACTTGTGTAGATATTATGTTGTTTATGTGTTTTTGTTATCAAGGGCTCCTGCTGTCACAAAACAGAAAAGGATATTTACGAGGAAGTAAAAAAACAAAAAAAACAAATGTAAAACAGAACATAACTAATGCAGCCACATTTGTTCACTTAAAATAGAAAGAAAGAAAACTAAACCAAACTAAATAAATAATAACATGAATGAAGGCTTGAGCTTTCTTTAAAGGTCACGGTATGAACCTCACGCTACGATATTTATTGCAATATCATGGAAAAGCTCATGATGTGAGGGAGGCTCACAATTAGGGATGTAACATTATTCAAATCTCACGGTACGATATTTATTGCGATATTTTGTGGAGGTGAACAAAACTATTAATATGCTACTTTTTCCTCTTAAAATGCCTTGACAAGACTTAATCCAAAGAACTAAGATTTAAAAGTGCTTATAACTGTTATTTCTTCTTGTAGTCTGCACTTAAATGGAGCAAAGGATCATGGTCTATGTAGTTCCCAATGTCTTTTTTTTAGCTACTGCTGCACCATAAGTCTTAATTTAAGCAAAGAGACTTGTAATTTGATATACTGTGATGCTCCATGATATTATTGTGGTGGAGGGTCCGTCAAATGCTTTTCTCCATTGAGATGTTATTGCTTTGTCTGAAATGTTTGAAGACCAAACCAGACCAAGTTACAGGTCAGATCTGTGGAGAGGCGACCCCCCTCACAGTCAGAATGCCTGTTTTTCTTGGTATTTTTGAGCTATAAAACCACCTGTAATTAAATAAATGTAAAGTAGAGCTGTTTAATGTCACACTGTGGAACATTCCAGGCAGAGCGATGACAAGCAGATGATGGACTCCCAACCAAAACGTTACACAGTGTACCTTTAACAACCAGTGTAATTTTGAATATTACAACTACAAACTTGTCAGTACAGCCCAAACAGCACAAAGCTCCACAGACACAGTGGCTAGTGTAAAATATTAGTAAACCTAATAGCCTCAGCCACTAGAGTTCGGTATTAAGGATGATTCATTTCTTGCCTTTCAGATTAATGTACATTCTTCACTTTTTCTCTAACTCACTATGATTTAACAGACTATGAGTCATAGTTTAGCAATGCTTTTGCTGTACCTGAATAGTTAGAACAAATCAAGTCTGGTCCTTAGAGAAAAACAAGTCTCTATAAATCTCTCTTATACAGCAATTATAAGGCAATATTAAGTTGTAAATTGTGCAGTTTATTGCCCATAGTACAACTGATCCTGTATTTTACAGTAATTGTTCATATTCTGTAGTTATGGATCATGTTTGCCTGAGACATGGAAGCTATCCTTCCATGGAGATGTTATTTCTTTACCTGGAATGTTACACAGTGTAGCATTAATCTCTCCATCGAGCAAGCAGGTGATGACAACAGCAGAGGGGTAATTAGGGCTGGGTATCATTAAGAAGTTGTCGATATGATACATACCTTGATACATCGGCCACGATATGAAACACTTTTCGATTAAGTGTAGTTGCAGTTTCAATTCAATATGATTCGATACGATATATTTCAAATCGATTTGATACAGTTCAGTGAAAAACAAAGGCTAAATCATGGCTGTGATACTAAGACCACTAAGTCTGTGCAAAGTTAAGATGAAAAACACCCATTTTACTCAAATCAGTGAAAATGTCACCACAATTGTAGCTCTTACACAAAATAATTGTGTAAAATATACCAAAAAATACTCTTGTTACGATATCGATACTATCATCAAATTAAACAATACGATATAGTGACATTTCAATATTTTTGCCCATTCCTAGTAAGAATTCTTGTCTGCCTGTGGCCTTTAGAGGTTATGTATTATTATTCATGAAAACCTATAAATAAAATAAATAAATAAAAACTAACCAATATTTAAAAAGATGAGTTTAATGTCATATTGTGGAATATTCTGGGCACTTCTCTTCAGGTGATGGATCCACACACTAGAAAAGGGGTTCTTAACCTTCTCAGTTTTGGGGACCAAATTTTTCTGAACAAAGTAACCTGTCTCAAATTAAATGCATGATATTGTACTGATTGTGGGCCCTCAAGGAGGTGGTCTCGGCCTTACTTTGGGCCCTGACCCTATGGTTAAGAATCACTGCAGTAGAAGTTACATAGTGCACCTTTAACCTTTAAAACAGAAACTAAATAAATATTGGTAATCTCATAATCCACACTTTGTTTTTGTTTGTGCTCTTTTAGACGTGTCCATGCATGCTGCCGCTGCAGACGCTGTGACTTCACCGCCCCCGACTCAACAGCCCTCCTCGACCATTTTAACTCTGCCCATTGCCACGACTCCGCCCACTCTCTAAACTCCTCCCCCTTAGCCGCTTCCTTCACGCCTTCTCTAACTCTCTCGGCCAATGGGTGTTCAGCTCCCTCTACATTAGCCATCAAAGAGGAGAGCAAGGGCGATATCCGACTGCTGTACTCGCTAGCGCCCCCCGAGGGAAGGCTGGCAGAGGGGGGCAGGGAGGAGAGTGTGGTCAAAAGTGAAAGTGGCGAGGAGAAGGAGAGAGAGAAAGGATGGGTGATAGCGGACACAAGAGGGACAGTGGAGAGAGGGGGGGAGCAGGCGCATGGTCTGCTTTGGGTGCCCAAGGAGCGAATCGGGGCCGAAACTCGACCAGGAAGTGGCAGCCCCTCCCTCTACCCGAGCAGCCTATCACTGTCATTCGTCTCGCCCAATCACGAGTCACCGCAATCCAAAAGAGGCTCACCCAGTATGGTCTATCTGAGTGACACCAAAGCGTTCATGGGAGATTCTAAAATGTTTATGGGAGAAACCAAACTGTACGGAGGCGGAAGGTCGGGAGGTGGAGGAGGGGCAGGTGGAGGTGCGGGAGAGAAGCAAATGACCAATCAGCAGTTCTCAACGGCAGCTGGAGGCGGGGCTACAGGAGGAGGCGGGACCGGAGGGAGTGGTGGACAAGAGGGCAAGGGAGCGGCCAAAGAGGAGTCCCAGTCACTGCTACGGGTAGGACATTTTGAAGCTTCCACTCTACACTCTTTCTTTCCACTTTGATGCCAAAAACACACACACATATAAATTCATTTGTGTTAAACATAAAGATTATTTTATTTTGATTGATGGTGGTAACAGAAAAAAATCCTGCACACCATCTTACTTGCAAAATGTTAGATTTATTAGGACAAACCGTGCAACGAGAGCTTAGGTAGCCATCTTAAATAGGGTGTGGCAAGCACCCAAGGGTGACAGGTCGTAAAGGAACAGTGTATCCATATTTCAAAAAACAAAGGCAATTAACATACAGTGTAATAATAATAATAATAATAATAATAATAATATAAATAGAAAAATAATTGGAAAATTTAAAAAATAAAATAAAATAATAAAAAATTTAATATAAGAATATCTGAATACATATAGACATTGTATATATTCACCCAACTATGGAATAAGGCTGTCGTGCCATATACACTTTTGTATTATACAGAGTGGATCTTATAATCCAGCCCATGTACGGCCCAACAGAGGCAAGAAACATAATAATCACAAGAAATGCTTAAATTAAAGTCATCATTAAGACTTTTTGGAGCTAAAGTTTGGAGGGTATGAATCCAGTTTGCATAATATTTGCTTGAGTAGATGGTCATGGTCGGGGACATGCTCAAAAACACAGAAACGGAGTGAACAAATGTGATGTCTATGATCATTAAAGTGTACCGCAACAGGATAATTGATTGACGGTGGTAAAAAAATACACCATACAAAACAAGCTGAGGGTTTCCAGACTGAACTGACTATTCTTCCACCATCTTTGAATCCCGCTCTCGACATAAATATCATTGGTAGAGTGGCCACATCCATTGACGCACAGGTTGGCGGTGCGATTCCAGCTCCCACACATGAATGCTGTCATTGTGTCTTTGGCATATGAAAGTGTGTATGAATGGGTGAGTGGTTGCTTGATGTAAAGCGTTCCGAGTGCCTTGAAGATAGAAAAGTGCTATTTAAATATGTTACTGAGATCTTTACGCATGTCTTTATTAATTGTTCCCCTTAAACAACATATAACTATCTAACAATAGTGTTTCAGAATAGGTCCTCTTTGCTCTTTTGAATTGTAGTACCTTATATTCGGTGTCCCCGTTGAGAGCATTAGCCATCAAAGCTTTGCTATTATTACACCTTGATCATCTTTTCTTTTGAATCAGATGTGAGGATGGAGCGTCATGTGGCGAGCTTTCACAGCCCACTCAAAGCCCCGATCAACACCGTTAAGACCAGTCCTGGGTGGCCCTTTTGTTCGCGGATAAAATTTACAGACATCATTTCCTTTCCCACAAGTATCGCTGGTCATTTTTAGTATATTTGGCTCCTTTTTTAATGCAAAACCCGCCCGTTGTCATGGCAGCTGTGTCGCAAATACAGAAACAGCCACCTGTCAGCCGGCCATCGCCATCACCCACGACGCTTTGCTCTCTAGTGATGTCATGACACGGCGCTCGGGGACAGACTGCGGTCGCCCAGTTCTGCGTGCCTATTGGCTATTATTACATTAGATCAGATTAGACCTATAAAACCCCACGGCAACGACTTGTGCTTGTATTAAGTGTGAGTGGTTAGCATGCAGCGAGCCATATGAGCCTGCATAGTGGAGTTATACATTTCTAGACTCTGTGGTGGTGGCAGTGTCTTGGCACAGACGGCTGGGTGGGGCTATAAGAGGTTAACTCATTACGTAGGGTGGGGCCGTGCGTGTTTGTAGTCGGGAGGAATGCGTGAGAACAAAAAATCGAAAAATGATATGAAGAGGTGCGGTGAGTCATACGCAGATAAAAGTCTAAAAAGAAAGAAAGACAGATGTAGAGCTGGATAATGATGATAATGAAAAATCTACTACTTTTATTCTAGTATTTCAGTATGTGGGCAAGAAAAAGGATGAGTTTTGGGTGTTATAGAAGGTAGTGACAGAAGGTAGTAATTGCAGAATTAAAAGTGCTAGTTGCAACCTAGTGCATTGTAAGCAGATGACACATCAAGTGATAAAAATATTACTGTTGCCATAGCGATTGTCATTTGAAAACATAATAGCTTCACTTTTGGCATCTGTAACAAGAAACAGCCCCGTGACTGAATTCCATTTATACTAAGAGATTTGATGTGATTTAAAGAGCCCATATTACCACTATTTTCTGAGTTTTGTCATAATGTTGTTTCCTCATCACAAACAGACCTGGAGTTGTTTTGTTTCATTCACACATGTTTAACACACAAACCCTGCATATTTAGGCTGAGTTCTTCATTCAAACTCTCAGACTCTCCACTTGGGGTGTCATATAGTAATACAAGAAGTGCTCTACTCTGTTTTTAAACTCCATACATCCCCCACCAGAATCATTTGGGTAATTTCAGACCTGGAATTACCAATCTCTACTGAACTAAAAAGGTAAATGTTAATATGAAAACTACAACTACCGTATTTTCTGCGTAGCTATCGTCAGATTCAGCATCAGTTCCAGTTGTTATTCCGGCCTTTCTGAATCCCAACTGAAGTCCAGGCTTTGTCGATCCATCCAGTGACTATCAGGAAAGTTGCCTGGTGCACCCACCCGGTTGTCACAAGTTTCTTGCTCAATCGAAATTTTCTTTCTGCTGCTCAATTACAGTTTTTGGCTGCATATTTTGCTACTTGCAGCTTGTAATCTGTAAAATATGATTTTCATTTTGGGGGCATTTGTGTCTCTTTCTGCAGGAGACATACGCAGTAGAGTGAAGTGACAGTAGTACAGGAGTAATAGAAGTAGCAGACACAGGCACAGAAGCCTAGAGCGCCCTCTGTCAGTGTGAAAATTTTAATATATAAGTCACACCGGAGTGTAAGTCACAGGACCACCCAAACATGAAAAAAAGTGTGATTTATAGTCAGAAAAATATGGTACATAACCTGTTACTATATTTATGACTTAACATTTCTAATACAGACCCACTGATTCATTTCTTAGCCTGTCATAGAAGTCTGTTTTATTATTTGTAGCTATTTTCCACACAGTTACTCAACTAATAATTTAAATTGTTTTTTTCTGCAATGCTTTAGTTTTATAAGATTACATTTTTTATTTTTTCACTTCAACTAATGCATCAGTAAAGTAATCATTGACAGTGGGTGCGTAGGGGGAGGAAGGCACAGATACTTTTATAATTCATCCACCAACTAGACACGACTTATTACTATAATGGCTTCATAAGATACGGCCTTTGCTTCTCCTTTTTATTCACAACGCAATATTTATTCCCCCATGGCTTCCACTGACACAAACGCACCACCTTCATTTTACTGTCAGCTCGTTCGTTATTATAGCTACGCCCAAGCACCCAGCTCTTACCCTGACCATCACAGATACAAGTTAAGTTAATTGTAACCTTAACCTTAAAACAAAGCATTTAAAAGGAAAAAATGAAAGTACAAGGCACGCGCTTTGGCTGACTCATTTCAGGGAGGGGAGCTCAAAGGATCATCGATATTTAAAGCCACACACGCAGAGACCGGGAGAGAGATAGGAGCTTCAATTTAAATGCAGCCTTTGACGCAACCAGAACCCAAGTGTGAATTCTAAAAGGTGGACCCACCCATGGTACAAATTGGCGTTTCGGAAATGGCAAGGCTGAAATCATGTGGTAGTAGGTGAAAGGGTGAAGTGAAAAAACAGGTGTAGGTGTGAGATTTAAAGGTTATGTTACACTAAACTGGCACTTGTGAGCTTTAATCCATGTTAGAATGTTGTTACCTCCTCAAAAACATGTCTGGAGTTGTGTTTTGTTTCATTCACACGTTTGAGTAATCCTGCATCATTAGTCTACATCTCCAAAACTCAGAATGCTTTGATCCACCTTGTGATGTCATCGAGCCATAGTTTTACTTTTGTAAAGTGGAAATTATCCAGGTCATTCTAGTAAAGGTGTATGGAGTTTAACAACAAAATGAAGCACTTCTTGTATTACCACATGACATCACAAGGTGGAACATTGCTTTCTGTTTGAGAAAAGAAAAGGGTTTGCGTGTTAATCATGAGTAAATGAAACAAAACACAATTCCAAGTATGTTAATGATGAGGAAATAACATTATTACAGAACAAAACAGAAAATAGTGCCCTTTAAAAAGAGACAAAAGAAAATCTGAAATGTCCTTTTTTTAAATTGTGTTAGGCATCTACAATTCTTCCACTGATTACTTTTTATTTTTCTATTATTTTTTCTTTTTGCAATCCCAAGTGGGTGCACTGTTGTCTGATACGCTCTTAGTATTCTGCTAGAGAAGCACTTGCAATGATAAGAAATCACAAAAACTGATTTTGACTTTGAGACATTCTGGACTCAACAGCAGCACTTCAGATATGTGCATGAGAATACATTTTTTCCTGACCCATTTTGCTTGTTCTTTTGAGACTACGAAAACCAGAAGTCCTCTTGATGCTCAAATATTCCGTTAACCCTCTTTCTTCTGGTTATAGTAAACATGTTAAAATCAAAATCAAGTATAAATCAAAATATGAATATGACAACAAATGTAATTCTATTTCATTCATCACTTTGGGTTGCCAGATCCTAGTGCCTCCGCTCGATTTCATTTCTCTCCAGCGACTAGGGCAGGAATCTGAATACACTTGACGGTTTGCAAGAACCCTGGAAGTTGTAGACCGCGCACCAGCCAATCAGTGAAGAGCAGTGAAGCCATGACATCAAACTCAAGTGCCTCTCTGGGTCCCTTTTGTGGTACAGCACAACCGTAAACAAAGAGGTCGAGATGGATGTAGACGAAGACAGACATTCTTCGTGTTGGCAACAATTCCCGAGATCGAGAATTTAAAGCTGCAACAAGAGAATGTTTGGTGAATTGTCTCAACGGGAAAGACGTTATTGCCCTTCTTCCTACGGGATTTGGCGCATTACGTACGTCACGACCAAATAGCAGTGATTGATTAAATAAAAAAAAAGTACCCGCCTACCATCG